CCCACACCTGTGGTTTCCAGCCAAACAATGTACAGGCATGTGAGTTAAACATTTACCTCAAGTAGATACACTCCTTGGAGAGAATAATCATGGGAGAAAGAAGGGCTGCTTATGTACAGGTAGACAGCTCAGGGGGCAGCAGCCCATGGAGGGATGGACACTGGGAAGAGGTAACTATGGGGAAGGGGTAGGAGGGGAGCTGTTGCATTGTGGTACACTGTGGTCAATGACATGAGACAGAGTATATGTGAACTGCTGTATGGAAAGTGAATGTGCTCTGTAAATCTTCACTCAAATCACAATAAAATAAATTAAAATAAATAAATAAATAAATAAGATGTAACTTTGAAGACTAAGGGGCACCTGACCCAAGCCATGGTATTTTCAATTGCCTCATATACATGCAAAATCTGGACAATGAATAAGGAAGACCGAAGAAGTGATGCCTTTGAATTATGGTGTTGATGAAGAATATTTAATGAACAAATCTGTCTTAGAAGAAGTACAGTCAGAATGCTCCTTAGAAGCAAGGATGGTGAGACTTCATCTCATGTACTTTGGACATATTATCAGAAGGCACTTGTTCCTGGAGTGGGACATCATTCTTGGTAAAGCAGATGATCAGTGAAAAAAAAAAGAAAGACCCTCAATGGGATGGATTGACAAAGTAGCTGCAACAATGTCCTCAAACATAACAAGGGTTGTGAAGATGGCATAGAACCAGGCAGTGTTTTGTTTTGTTGTGTATCAGGTATCTGTGAGTCAGAACCTACTCGATGGCACTTAACAACATAACAATGGACCCATGATTGAAATAAGGTGGTTAGACGTGTTAGCCTTTTGATGCTGATGTCAAGGTAAAAACATCACTTTCCTCCAACCCAAGGTTGGAATGTCTTTTGAACAGAACAAGGGGATACTGCACGGTTTAAAAGCAGGAAAAGTATGCATCAGGGCAGATTTCTGGGCTTGGTGGCCAGTGAATCTGAGCTTGTGAAGTCTCTGGGATTCTCATTAGGCAGCTGATTAGGGGACAGAAGGAGGCTGCTTGAGTCCCCTTGCCTGGAGGTCTTTAAGAATAGGAGAGACACCTGTCTATGCTGGTGTAGGTGGAAGTGGGGGTGAGAGTGCTGTCAGTCATGCACTGACATTTCTGCATATACCCGGAAACTCTCTTTTGACAATTTATTTAGATGTGGTTGGCAGGAAGAGTGCTTGGAGCAGGTGGGCTTTGTTTGTAGACAGCAGTGAACCTTAGAGGCTAGGAAGGTGGGGTGGGTTTTAGGATCCAGGGTTTGAAAGGCACAGATTACATGTTCATGATCCTCCTCCCCTTCCAAATGCTCAGGCTGCTCTTTCTCTCCATGACCTTGAGCTTGCATTGATTTTCTAAATGCACACATAGAAGGCTGCTTGAGTCTCTATCCAAACCACTGGCATTCGATCAAGCCAGTTCATTGCAAAGGGGAAAGTAAAGCATTACCACCATTAGAGATCACTGGGCGCAATGTAATGCATGATAAAGCCTATCAATGTTGATCAGATGAATACCCTGGGATTGGGCCCCAGACAGCGCATATGATTGTGGGACAGTTCTGATTCTTCCTGGTGAACGTAAAATCTACTTTCTAGTAATTCCAAGTGAATGGCCTTAGTTCTGCCACCGAAGCCACATATAAGGTCATATATAACTTTTTCCCATGTGATAGCTTTTCAAGTATTTGAAACACGTGTATTATGTTCTCCACAGTTTTATCTTTAGCACTGGTTCTAAGCAGCAGCATTAGCACATCCTGCATCCTCGTGGAGGAAGGTAAGAGCATGAAGGGCCAAGAGAAAATTACTATAAAATGGATTCTTTTACAATACATAGATTCCAAAGGCCCCAATGTAGTTGAATATCTAGAGTACATTGAAGTGTCACAAAATCTTTGCTCTTTGGATTATTACTGTCACTCATTTCTTCAACATATACACATAGTAGGCACTGAGGGTATAACAGTAAACAAAGCTGACATGGCCTCCACACTCATGGAGATTGCAGTCTTATGGAGGATGCAAGCAAGTAGCATTTGGAAAAAAAAAAAAAAAGCATTTCTATTGCAGTGTGAAAAACACCATAATAATGTAAGTCCATGCTGTGGTAGCCCTTAGCACAGGTTAGATAGTCAGGGAAGGCTTCCCATAATAAATGACTTTGAAGGATGAGAAAGAAAGAGTTGGGGAAAAGGGAAGGAAAGGGTATTCCAAAGACAGATGCTGCTGAGGAAGATGACCCTAACATTTAGGTGTTGAATATGCCATGGGCTCAGAGGAGAAGGATGAAATTAATGGCAAATACAGAGGATTGTAAGCATCATTGTGCTTTGAATCATGCAGGATGAATAAGCTGTAGAGCAGGATTGGGGCTGTGAAGTGAGAGTCATGCTCTGTATCCTTTTTATCCAGTTAAGAGGTCAGAGGGCACAGCTGAATCCTCACACAGGCTGGGCCAAGGTTGGTAGGTTCAGTTTCAGAGCACAAAGAAGCAAGTAGGGAAAGCTATTTGTAGGACTGAGAAGCAAGCACACAGGATGTCAGTGGAACTGGAGAAAGTGGTTTAGCTGTGGAGTTTACACAAATTATGTCATTTAATGAGGCATAGGATAGCCTGCTCTATACATCTTTGTCTCACTCTGTCAAATTAAAGACAGTAATATTCTGAGATTCACTTATGTTGCTAAGTGTAGGTGATGAAATCCACTTCTTGGTATGGATTTGTTATATCAGTTGGTTTTTCTTCTGACCCCTAGCTGAGATCAGCAATCCTGAGGAGCTGTGAGGGGGTTCTGATTGTAGGCAGGCTACAAGGACTGGGCACTCACCCAATAGGAGTGTTAGGGGGTTCAATGAGTCACAGGGGAAACCCAGAAACTTCTCCCCTAGGTCCTCACCTCCACCTTTCTGGAGACAGCTACACTCTGATTCTTCCTCCCCATGTCTCCTGTCCTTGGCCCTCAGCTCCTGACGCCCCCTACACTCACTGGAAACAGACTGTCTTCTACTTGGAAGATTACCTCACAGTCCGGAGAGGGGAAGAAATCTATGGAACCATATCCATGAAGCCAAATGCCAAAAATGTGGTGAGTGTTGAGGCAGCCTCTGTGTGGGCTGGGGGCAGAGAGAAGAAACATAGAGCTGAGTGCTGGGGAGCTCCTCTGAATGGTTCTGAGTACCTTGTGCCCACTCAAGAGAGTTCCTGAAGGAGGCAGTAGGAAGTAGGGTTTGAATGTGCCTGGACATAACTGAAGGATCCCAAACTTGGCCACTCAAAACTCAGAAATTAGACACTTTCTCTAGATTCCCCTCTGGACTCTCTTTCCACCTTGAGGACAGATTTCAAGTCTTCATGTGAGGGACTTTGAGAATGGAAGATGTTGCTATGGGGTTTATCTCCTTTAGCAGGAGCTGGGCCAAGAAAGAACAGTTTCTGGTGGCCTGGAAGATGTTGGTTTACACTTCAGCTGGCCTGGTGGGTTGGAGCCTGTGTGATCCTCTTTGAGCAACTTTGGGTGTGGGCATGTGCATTAAAAAACTAGAATGCTTTCAGGGTTATGCCACAGAAGACTCAACCACCCACTTTGTTTTCTCCAAGATAAAATCAGAGGGAACATTTTTCTATTATAACAGGAAGGATAGAAATCTTAGAGATCAAATAACTTCCTGTAAGGATAATGAAGCAGCAGAATAGATTCCCGAGGGCTGTTGGGGGAAACTCCTTAGTTAGAAAAACCACTACAGCCACTCATGCCTCTGGTTACTGGGAGGACACCTGCCTGGAGGCAGGGGAGCAGTGCCTGTATTCTAAGTTTGACCCAAAGTCAGGGGGTGTCTTGGATGGTCTGTTAAGTGCAGCATGAAGAAGTGAGACTCATGCAGGAAGGCTGGAAAACAGGTAGAATTCAGTACTTACAGGTCCCAGAGAGGAAATGACAGCAAGTATACAAGGAGGGCCACACAAGGGGTTGCACCTGGGGACAAGGCAGCAACAAACTGGAACAGTAGGAGAGAGCTTATGTGTGGCAAGCTAGATGGGATCTTCAGGTTAGTGTATGCTGAAGCTTATCGGTCAGTTTAAAGTTTCCTTGCGTGGTGCAAACAGTTTGCCCTTGGCTACTAACCCAACCATTGGTGGTTCAAACCGACTCATCAATGCTTACCTCCTGTCATAAGATTAAACAAGAAAAGACAAACCCATTGCCATTAAGTCTCTGTGGCTCATGGAGACCCCATGTGAACTTCTCCGTAGGGTTTTCTTAGCCATAATCTTTACAGAAGCAGATCATCAGGTCTTTCTCTGTGGTGCAGACTGTTTGTGCCACCCAGGGACCTTAACATTACAGCCACTGGAAACCCTATGCAGTGCAGTGCTACTCTGATACACATGAGGTTGCCATGAGTTGGAATCAACTCTATAGCAATGAGTTACAGGTAGGACATCAATGCAGGACTATCATAGGAAACCATATAGGTAATGGTTGGGAGGACAAATTAGAGCCCCAAACTGTTGAGAGGTGTGTGACAAAACAAGACCAGGACTAACCATGTCAAAAACTGGTGAGAGGCCAACTAGGAGAAATGAATGGTTGCCCAGGCAGCAAATTGGCCTATGATACACCATAACTTCCTAATCAGACCAGTGCTATGACCCTTTTGCTTTTTCTTTGCAGCGGGACCTCGATTTCACAGTAGACTTGGATTTTAAGGGACAACTGTGTGAAACATCTGTATCTAATGACTACAAAATGCGTTAGCACATGTGGGAAGCTGCAGAGAGCAAGCGAGCGAGAAAAGAAACTCTCACCTCAGTCTGCTGCACTTGTACTAAGGAAACCTGTTTGCAGGACTACACACTTGAAACCTGGAGTTGTAAACTCTGCCTGGAAGATTGCTGAACTCATCAGGGCTCTCGTGGGCCTTGCCTCTGGACAGAGAACCTCCGGCTCCTGGGCTCTGCTCAGGCAGCCTTTCACAAAGGCTTTGTTGCCGCCAACAAAGAACAACCTTGAGTGCTGTGGCTGGTTCCCCAAGGATGGAAAAGTACACATGTATACCCATTGTCCTCCTTAACTGTGAATCTCTGGATCTTCCAAGTTTTGCATGCTGCAGGCATCTAGGACAGATTGCTTCCACTAGAACCCGGAGACATAGTGTCTTTGATAGCATAAGCGAGATTATCTGTCTGTGTGGTGGCGTGTGTGTGTGTGAATGTGCCTACAGCATATGTATTAGTTTATTTACCCACAGCAGCTGTATATGCTTGCATATACAACCAAGTGGGTATACTTATGTGTTCATTCAGAGGGGTGTGTGTGTGTGTGTGTGTGTGTGTAGAATATATATTACTCTCAGAGGAGATTCTGTTGCTTTTGAATAGGAATTTGTTTTGTGATTAGTTCCTCCCCTTTCCCCACTCCTTAACAGATGTTAAGCAGCTATGAAATATTCTCTGTATTAGCTCTGGTCTCCTTTTGATTAGACCGTGGCTCTGAACCCTGAGATAGACCACGCACCCTGTGGGCGCTCAATAAATATACATGAGAGTGAAGCGAGGGAATGTCTGTGCTCCTGGTGCTCTGGAGTGGGTGGGCTAGGGATGGATGTCAAAGGCTATCACGGGACACAAAATCCAAGGAAGAGCTACCTACATGTGTTCACACTTGCTCATTGAAGGAAAGGTCCACGGGAGAAGGAGCTGTGGAGTAGGACTGACCTAAGAGCTTCTCATCTACAGATTCTCAGGTGAGTAGGAAGAGGGAAGCTGGGGTGGAGGCACATAAGCTAAGTAAGAATGCTCCAGAACAGGAGACAGCACATAGCCCAGAGGGAAGCCAAGGTCAAGAGCAGAAGGATCTGGGCTTGTTAGGAGGATGCAAAATGCAAACCTCCAGTGACAGATGGGTGGTAGCAGCCATGAGATGAGAACGCCCTGTCTCAGAAGTGAAGAATAACCTAAAACCAAACCAAACCAAACCAAAACACTCCACCAGGCCTGGAAAAGTACATTTTCTTCCCATCCTACAGATATTCTGTTACCACACTCTGCCTAAGACTAGAAGTTTTCCTGACAGGTTTCTAACGGAGAGCAACAGAATGGTTGGCTCAGAATGGAAATTCAGGACAGCCTTACACCAGCTAAAGGGAAACAGGCAATATCTCCAAGAAACCTGGCACAGGTCTTGATGGAATGGAAAGAAAATGTGTTATTTACTCTAGGAGAGACATTCCAGGTGTTGTGAAGGGAGAGGGACCATTTAGAGAGTGTCTTGGTTTCCTAGTGTTGCTGTATTAGAAATACCACAAGTGGGTGGCTTTAAAGAACAGAAATGTATTTTCTCACAGTTCTGGAGGCTAAAAGTCCCAATCAGGGTCTCAGCTGTGTCGATTTCTTCCCTGTGAGTAGTACTGGGTGTTCCTTGGTTCCTTGTCTTACAGATGATCAGACATGCTGTCTTTCTTCCCCTTTTTCTGCTTGCCCCTCTCAGTGCCTATGCTGCTCTTTTTATAACTCAGAAGTGATTAGATTTAGGACACACCCTACACTAGTGTGACCCCCAACTGATTGATTGATTGCATTATGTTAGATTCCATTATGGACGGGGATTACATTGATTAGATTACATCTACAGCTATAGGGGTTAGGATTCAAATGCTCATTTGAAGGGGACACAATTCCATAACAGATAGTAAGTAGAACTGATGAAACCTGGGAAGGAGGAGATGCAGAGGAGCCCAAAAGTTTGGATGTGTATGGCTGGAGAGTACTGGTGGGGATGGCAGTGCCCTTAGAAAACAACAGAAGCCAGTGGAGATGACCCTTACACATTCATAACCCTCTGACATCTACATAATTTATTGATTTCTCCAAAGCTCTGGGAGTTTGGCACAGAGATATTACCCACCCATTTTGCAGGTAAGGCATATGAGAACTAGGGAAGGCAGAGGAGTTAGTGGCCAAGCCTAGCCAACATCTCAAGTCCCAGTTCAACGTGCCCCCTACTGCCCCCTGCTGATTCTTCTGAACCTCAAACCTAGAGAGGAAAACTGTATCTAAAGAAAAATAAAGTGAAAATAATTTACTGCTTTTTGCCTATATATATTTGATGAGAAAAATACATAAACTTATAAGAGGAGACAACAGATTCGTTAGAAGAGGAAAGGAAGTTGAAGAAGGATATCAGGTAGCTATGAGTATCTCTCTCTGAGGCTGATTGAGGGGAATTCATGAATGATGGTGGTGAGAGGCAGGGAGATCCTAGATTCGACCTACTGCAATTTGGCTTAAGCTTGAGCAGGGAGCCCATGCAATTCAGTGGAGGATTCCCACCTGGTCATCTGGGCAAAACCCTACATTGTTAGGAGCACAACAGAGTTGACAAGGATGATGAGCTTCTGGGAGCCCCAGGCATTGGGGGCCTGCAGACATCCCTCATAACTCTGGGCATGCTCTAAGCAAAAGCCTAGCAATCTTCTGGCCAGGTCTCTTCAGTCATCAGAAGAAAAGAAGATCACCCCATGGATCTACCCTGGTCCTGGGTCTTCAGCCTTCTGGAATGGCTACAGCCCCCACCAGAGCTTCACACCTTTCTGCTCCAGGGATGCAGAAGCAAGTAGAGGAGGCCTGAAGGAACAATTCCATAGAAGCCTCCTTACTCCTGCCCATGGGAATTCTCCAGCAGGAGTTGTGATTTTTTCTAATTCAGTGGAAAATGAGCAATATCTGCTTCGAACATGTTCTGAATGGAAGTCAGTGTATAATATGGAGTCTCGGCATGACAACAGAGATGTTGCAAAGATAACTTCACTTATGAAATCTGTGTTTCCCACTCTAAGTCTTTGCTTTATTTATTTGAGACTGTACAAAACCCACTAGTGGCTTTCTTCCCTGTTACTTTTCTCTCTCCTTGGGAAATTTCTCCCTTTTGTTCTCAACTCACTTCTCCCCAAACCTGCAGTTGTGGTGTCTCTTTTGTGATATTATTTAGGTTTGTTTACACATGGGTCATTCTGCTTATTCTGAGGCCTGTTCCTAACATGGTCTCTCTCCTCCCCTAGACCACAAGTTCCCAGGAATGGGAAATGGCTTCTTTCTGCTTGTGTTTTCCCCTAAACAGATTCAGGGTACAAGTAGGAGGTAAAAAGGGCAGGCGACTCCAGCACATACCTCACTCCCATAGAATGTGTGTCAACGAGCCACTCTAGGACCACCAAGGCCAGTCCTTTCTTCCTGTGTTCCTTGGAATATGCGGACATTTTATTTATTCTCATAAAAGCCACCCAATGGAAGCTATCTCCCTTAGACAGTTGTTGCTATAGTTAGTTGCTGTCAAGATGATTCTGATTCCTGGCGATCCCATGTGTTGAAGAGTAGTACTGCTCCATAGGATGTTCAAGGCGGTGACATTTCTGAAGCAAATCACAGGGTCTGACTTTTTAGATGCTTCTGGGTAAGCTCAAACTGCCAACCTTTCAGCTAGTAGTCAAGGGCTTAACAGTCTGAGCCACTGAGGGACAGGGGCCTCCATAAACTTTATGGACTGAAACGAGGTCTTTGCCAGGCCTCACCTGATCTCCTGCCCCTGCAAACTTTCTTTCCTTTTGGCACAGTACTTGGCATCCCACTCCAGACCTCAGTAGGATATGAGCAATTGCAGACAGCCCAGCCCATTCCTATTCCTTAGGGTGGTCACTTTATCCGGAGTGTGTCCCTGACCTGGTGGCTAGTTCTGACCACTGGGCTTCTGCCATGCCTTGATCTCAAGTCTCAGATTCCATATGGTATGGGAGCTCTGTCTTATTCTTGTGAGCCCCCCTCCATACTACACTGAGGGTTCCCAGCCTAGTTTCTGGAAGCTTCTTCCTGAAAATACTTTTTTTTCCCCCCCTGGATACTTGCTACTTACCTGAGTCTGCAATAGCACCTGCCTGAATACCTTGTTTCTAGCTACAGCCCCACCTGTAGGGTACCCTAGCTTATCTCAGACCATTGGGCTATCTCATGTCTTACCCACACCCTTGGCCTGTTTTTTGTATCTTCCAGGTAAACCTGGTTTCCTGAAGATGCCTGATCTCAGCTCCTGCCTGACCATACTGGATGAGCTTCAGAGATCAAAACTCACTGCTGTCGAGTTGAACCCGACTCATAGCGACCCCTCCTTGGGTTTCCAAAGTGGTATCACTACAGAAGTAGATTGCCTGATCTTCCTTCCAAGGAGTGGCTGGTGGATTTGAACCACTAGCCTTCTGGTTAGCAATCAAATGCCTTAGGCGTTATGCTACCAGAGTTCCTAAGCTCTGCTAATACACATTTATTGGCTACTTAATAGGTTCCAAGCCCTGGACTAGGCACTGAGGATATAGCAGCGAATCAGACATTGTAGTGAACTTCCCTTGTGGAACTTACTGTCTGGTTACGAGACTCTGGGCAGGCCTCCAAACCAAACTCACTGCCGTCGAGTCGGATCCAACTCATAGCGATCCCTCCTTGGATTTCTGAAGCACTATCACTACAGAAGTAGATTGCCCAACCTTGCTTCTGGGGAGTGACTGGTGGGTTTGAACCACCAGCCTTCTGGTTAGCAGTCAAATGCCTTAGGCACTATGCCACCAGAGCTCCTTGGGCAGGCCTGCTCCTGCCCAAATACTTAAGACATGAGGTTCTTCAGCCATCCTCCCTAACCAACACTAACCGTACTCTAAGCTACCCTGTGAGTGATCCATAGTTTTTAGCTTTGCTAAACAACCCTGTGTGAGGAAAGCTGGTAAGGTGTGTTGTTTCCTCAGTCTATCTCAGCTATTAAACTTAGGAAACAGAAAGGGAATTATGCTCAGTTTGCCCTAATCTATGTGGATTCCACAGGAAGTCTCAGCCTGTCATTTTCAGAGTAGGCCAGCTCTCCAGGAGGCTCAGGGTCTTTTTTTTAATGTTAACAGTAGGTCCTTTTTCACTACTGAAATACTACAAGGATTTTACCAATGATTATTTTTGTTAGTTGCTGTTGATTGGATTGCAACTCATGGCTACCCCATGTGTTACAGAGTAGAACCTACTCCATAGGGTTTTCTCAGCAGTAATCTCAATGGAACTGGATTATCAGGTCTTCTCTTCCATGGCACCACTGGTTGGGTTCACCTGCCAACACTTAGATTAGCAGTTAAGTGCAATTTGTTTATACCACCCCAGCACATTAACAGTTTGCACCACCCGGGGATTTACCAACAATTAGCCTGTAGCTAATACTGAAAGCTCAAGGGTCTTGTTGTCATTGTTAGTCTTGATACCTTATGTACAGCAAATGAAGTGTTGCCTGGTATTTCTCCATCTTCATGATCGTTGGTAAGCTTCTTAAAATGCTAGGTGGCTCCTGCTGACCTCACCTCCAAAGGCAAGCATCAGTTGCTTGACAACTCTGTTAGATGACATGAGTTTTGGAGCCAAAGGACCTATTCAAATATTTGCACTGCTATTTATTAACTAAGTGACTTTGGGCAAGTCACTATACATCTATGAGACTTAGTATTTTCATCTACCAAAAAGGAGATG